ATCCTGATTTTCTCCCTTTAACCAGAGCAAAGCTTTTCGGGTTTTGTCTGCATGTGAGGTCTGCCTATCATTTCACGTGCTAGTTAAATAAGTTTCAGATTTGTAAGGAGTCAGAAGGAGACAGCGAATGGGCAAAGCCAAAGTGTATATATCTCCTTTTTAAAAGCTCAACCCTGGCAAATGGGTAATTGTACAGAGGAGATGTATATATGGGAGGTGATTTACCTGCCAAAGGATTCATAGTTCTGTTCAGGTAGATTTGTGTTCTACTGCCCTTGTCCTGCCAAACAGCATAGTCTGATATTGAACATCTGTGCAGACTACACTTCAGTTGATCAATAGAGTCTAGTCTAGGACCCGCCTGTGATTGGACAGTGAAGGCATAGCAGCACAATGATGAGGTCATCCCTGTGCTCTCTCCTCTAAGCATTTTCAGAAGAGTGGTTACACTGTGCCAGATAATTGAGCCCTGATGGGTTTAGGGCTAGGGTGTATCTATTAGGGGTTTTGGCAGTCCTCTTGAACAGGGGTAGCAAAATTCCGGCCCTCCAGCTGTGCTGGAACTAGAAATCCCATGAGGCATTGGAAGATTCTCACAGCCACAGACATGACTCCCGGAGAGAAATGCATCATGGGAGTTGTAGTTTCACCACAGCTGGATTGTCGAGTTTGGCTACCCCTGCTCTAGAACCATGAAGCAGAGAATGGGTTAAAGCAAAGCCTGTCAGTGGAGCTGGAAAGAGGACAGTAGCTATAACAGGGGTAGGCAAACTCTGGCCCTCCAGCTGTGGTGCAACTACAAATCCCATGAGGCATTGCAACACTCTGATGGCCACAGGCAGGACTCCCAGAGGCAGCTGTATGATGGGATATATAGTTTCACTACTGCTGAAGAGCCAGAGTTTGCCTAACCCTGGTCCATAATGTCACAACAATTCACATTTGTAGCTGGTGAAGATGCGACAATTATGTGGAGGTTGTTGGCTTGAACAGTCCATGTCATCTTGGGAGGGCGCACTCTATTTTGAAGACCGGGTCGTTTTATTAAGATTATCAGGACAGAAGATATTTCAATTTAGTTGGGAACAGTCATTTTAAACACTCTGTTGTGTAATCACATAGGAAAAATGGTCATCCACCAGTAGGATTTTGTTAGGAAAACCATCATTTTTGGAGCATTCTTTAATTTCCTAATGATTAATGGGGGCAAATTGATTGTTTTCCACCGTATGGGCGAGGATGGAACATTTTTGTTTGTTATCTGAACCAAATTATAACCATAAATGTGACTTCCATTCGGGCAAAAATCATACATATTGTAATAGACACGAGACGTCTGAATGGAATATTCAAGTAGCCGATCTGGTTGGACTTTCCAATTATATCAGTTGACTCGATGACAAGATCAAATGTTATGGCAAATGATTTTTTTTAGAATTTCTTTGAACGGCACCAACTTTACCCTCGGGCTGAATGAAGACCTTCGATGTACTATATCAGGGGTAGCCAAACTCTGGCCCTCCACCTGTGGTGAAGCTACAAATCCCATGATGCATCTCTCGGAGTCGTGGCTGTGAGAATCTTGCAATGCCTCATGGGTTTTGTAGTTCCACCACAACTGGAGGCCTGGAGTTTGGCTACCCCTGTGCTAGAGCAACATGATCCTCCTCAAGCCAGCATATCTTGAGTGATGCAAAATGTTCCATAGGCGTGAAGGGTTGTATCAGACGGTAGATTGCAAGCTCTTTTGGTGACCGGTACTGATGTGGTAGGTTCAGTGTTCTCTACAAAGCTTTGCAGCGCTGTAGAAGTGAAATGAATAATGTAGTGACCTCTTCCAGGAATATGTACTTCTAGGAAACTGCTAAATGTTGCACGTACTGTTACCATTAACCAGAGAAGAAACGATTTCTGCTTTGTGTAATGCTTGACAGCTTGTATTTATAGTTCACGGGAGTAAGCACAGCGTGCGCCAAAATAGATTCTTCTGTGATTTGGGTGAATGTTGAACTGAGTAATTTGGTGCCTGCATGGAGTTCAGATGGTGTGTGTGCTGCACCAACAGGCGTAATGTCTTGTCGTTGACCCTGATGTCATAACCAGATGCATGTGATGTATTGAGGGACTATAAATAAAACTGTATAGAGGCTTCTGATCTAACCAGCATAATTTAGAAGTCGTACCACCATCAGTTATGCGGCGTTTGGAAACACTAGAAAGTGCTTTATTAAAGCCCATCTGCAGACCGCGCGTTTTGATTGTCCTGCATATGGCTTCGTCCGCCTTTTTCGAGGTTGACCGATAATTGCATAACTGGTGGGAAAGATATGTAGATAAGACCACCTGCAGCCAAGATCAAGAATGTTCAGGCTGTTCAATCTACCCATCTGTGGCCAGACTTGGTTCTAGGGATGCACCGATACCACTATTTCGGTATCGAGTACTGATATTTTTTTTCCGCTACTCACCGATTCCGGAAGTCCCATTTAAGGAAGCCGGGTGGCGTGTAATGACTCGCCTCTTGGCTTCCTGATTAGCCGGGAAGAGGGGCGACATGTAAAGTCTCGCCACCCGGCTTCCCGATTAGAAAGCCGGGTGCCGCGGCATTACCCGGCTTCCTGATTGGCCAGCTTCCCGACCAATCAGCTGGGCAGCGACTCATTATACGCTGCCCGGCTTCCGGATTGGCCTGGAACCCGGCTCCATGCTCCCTCGTTACTTGTGACGAGGGAGCATGGAGCCGGGTTCCAGGCCAATCCGGAAGCCGGGCAGCGTATAATGAGTCGCTGCCCAGCTTCCTGATACCGAAAGTATCGGGCCAGGCATCGGAGCATTTGAGAGAGTACGAATATTCGCCCAAATACTCGTCATCGGCACCGATACTAGTATCGGTGCATCTCTACTTGGTTCCATCAGTAGCTTCTTCTACATGCTGTTCTGCTTGAACATTAGTTGGCACGAATCTCTTTGCACATGTGTTACACATACAAAACCTCCAGTTTTAGCTGCCTCGGTATCCACAAACTCTTCACTTTCATTGTTCTGCCACAACAGCAAATAAAATAGACCATCTCAAGACAGGACGGCTTCAGAAAAAGTCTCTTGAAGTGGGCTGTTTGCTGAGCTGGAGTTTGCCAAGTTGAGCGTCTGTTTACCTCCTGGCATCCATTCAGGTTTCTGATGTCATGATGACCTGCTGAAAATAAAAGTACTAGAGAGAAACTGGGCTAACCCACCTAAACAAACAGAGCATTGTTTCCTATGACAATACTTCTGTCTCCGATCTTTATAAATTAGGGGGTGGCCTATGAGGTGATTCCCTCTAATGGATGAATGTTGCTCAGGCCAAACTCCAAACTCGGGGTATTAACAGTGAAAGAACAAAAGCGCTGCAAGAGGAAACCACCAGGTCAAACAAGTAGCTGCATTAAAGAGACCTTGCATTTAAATGGAATTTATAAATGCAATATGTAAATGGTAACCCACTTCGTTTTAATACTGGTGCGGAGCAGAGTTGTTGGTGCCCTGTGTTCCTACATTGTATAACACATGTTTGGAGAATAGGGTAACTAAGCATTTCCCTAGTTCATGTGTCTGCTTTACCTCTAAAGTGAGAAGAGACTAGTGGCAAGTTCAACCCTTAACTGGAGAGGACCCATCACTTGTCCAGCAGACCAGGAGCTTCCTTTTCAGAACGTTTTGGCATCAATTGAAAGCCAAACTGAAATGGTGACATTAAATGGGCCAGGCTTTTTTCCACTAAACTTGCTTTTTTGGTTGAGAGTTCCTATTTCTCTTGCCTTTTTCTTTTTCCTTTCTTATTGGACAAGTTTAATGTAAAAGATCATCCAAAATGCTGAGACGTCATGTTTTCATGCATCAGCTTAGGAACCAAAGAAAACTTGCATGGGAATCAAAATTCCTCAAATCAGTACGTAATCCTTGGGTAGAATATTTAAGTTGTTTGGAGGAGGTTAAGACCTTGTTCACACCAGCCACAGTGCTTTCCGGCCCGATTCTGACTGGAATGCGTTTCAGCCGGCTTACTATGTTGTGGGGCAGGAGGGGGCATGGCGGTCCATTGTAGTGAATGGCACCGTAGCCACGCCCTCCGGACGCACAGGAACGCAAGGCACATCAATGCCTGCGGTCCGGTCAGAAAAAATAGTGCTTGCAGCATTTTGTTCGTTCCGCAGGCATTGACGTGCCTTGTGTTCCCTTGCGACCAGAGGGTGTGACTATGGTGCCATTCACTTCAAAAGACCACCACACCCCCTCCTGCCCCACAACATAGTGAGCCAGCCGCGATGCAGTGTGTTCCGGCCAGAACGCACTGATGTGAAATTGCCTAAGGGCAGGTTCACACCATTTTCTGGACCAGATCTGGAATGCAGTGCATTGCGTTTTTACCGTAATTTTTGCAGCGCTTGGAAATTATTATTTTTTTTAAAGCTTAAAATGTTTTTTCAAGTGTGTTTTGTGTGCAGTTTTGATGCGTTCCAGTGCATTCCAGAACAGACAAAATAGGACAAGCAGTATTTTTCTGGTCTGGAACGGACTGGAACGCTGTGAACAGAGGCCAGAAATAGCATAGGGATAGATTGGGATGCATTTTGGGTCCGGAAACAATCTGGTCCGGTCTGGAGATGATCCAGACATGGTGTGAATGGGCCCTCAGACACCCACTTCTCCTGTACTCCTGCTACCTCAGCAAGTCTTGAGCAAATTGGTATGTTGTCCTCCAACTCATTGGGGGTGGATATAAAGCATGGCTGGATTCTTCCCTAGCTGCCTCCCAGAGCTTTTAATTTTGGATTTTCTTCTTTCTGGAGCAGCGGTGAAATAGTGTTTATTTCATTATTAATGGTGAATGAAGTTCTCCTTTCAGTAGCTGTTTTTAGTAAAATGTTGTGTCTTGCATAAGGTATTGACATGTGTTGCTACTCCCATGAAATGATTTGATAATTTTATATCATTTTTATATATTTTTTCTTTTACAGCTATGAACCAGCAGAGATTGAGTCAGAGCGTGCCAGTGAAAGCTCCTCCTCCCATGCCCCCACAGAGCCCGCAAAGTGGTGTCATGGGAGGTGGGGGCAGTCAGATTAGGCTCCAACAGCTTCAGATGGAGAAGGAACGCCTGCGACTCAAGCACCAAGAACTGCTCCGGCAGGTGAGGCCACAGGTTAGAAACGGCCCTTTTGTTCTTCTTTACATGTTTGTCTTATGTCATGGTTTGGGGTTCTCTATCATCTTATAGACACAGATGGTTGTGAAATATAAACCTATGTTTGCCCCGTTAATGGTTAGACTGCCACAGACTAGGAAACAATAGGATATTTTTAGTGAGCACAAATTGAGTTACAGCAATGTGTTGAGCAATTTATTTTATGATTTTTGCATTACAAGCTTCCCCTCCTCCTTCCTTCTTCTTTTTTTTTTTTTTTTATTCTGCAAATATACACAGAGCTTTGTGGATTAGGCACCAGTGATCGTGTAGCTTCACTTTTTCAAAATAACGTTAGTGTAAAGCTGGCCATACTCTGTTCGTTCAGCCCTGTAAGCTGAATGGCCACAGTCACTTTGCGGCCTGGATTTTTTGGACCAGTTTTTTTTTGTACAAAATTGGCTTTTGTTGAATGGAAGGGCACCTGAAGTCCAGCTAAACCTTTTTTTTTTATTAGTTCCCCCCCCTCACTTGCTAACTACTCTTTCAGCAGACAAGAAGTGAGTGGAAGAATCTCAAACAGGGACACATATTCTTATCTGGAGTTTCTAAATGGCCCATCTGCTCAAAATAAGCTCCTTCAGTCTGACAAGCTTCCGGCAGATAATCAAGTTTCAGTTGAAGATCTCTACAATAAACCAAAACACATTTATAAGTTTTTTGTATTTTTTGTAAAAATTGTTTTTGTTGCTCAGTTACCTGAAACATTTAGTACCTGAGTGCAAGGTTTCCTCCTGGATTGCTGGTGCATTCAGCAGAACGTGTGGTCAGATCAGTGTTATACTACTGAGCAAAGATCTGTGATCTGTGGTGCCTAACGGCAGAGTAGCTTAGATCTCTAAATTGAACCTTTTTATTGCAAATTGTTGTGGTTTCTGAACCTGGGAGGATTGCTAGTATACAGTTTGGATCTCTTCTAAACTAGATGCTCAGAATGTCTTTTTCCTTGCCAACCCTGCTTTATGAAATCAGTGGGAGCCATGCTGTGTTTGTGCTATCACACAACATTACAAGGTCATGACTGACGCACGAAGAACAGGAAAGAACGCCTGTTGTCAGGGCGATAGGAAGTGAGGGGAGGTATTCCCTACAGGACATGAAATTAGTGGGAAATTGGAAAGTGTAAGTCTCCATACAATTTAGAGGCCTGGTCATTGAGGATTAGTGTTTGTATTTAGGCTGGCGAGTGCCTATACTCCAATGTTCATTGGATTGATAATGGAATAGGCAGTTGGGGGAATTGCGGCGGTGTTGTGAAGGACTAATCAGTGAATCAAGACGGTATGTGCTGGCTCCTTATGAAGTCCGCTCTCCATTAGCTGTATTGATTTGTAGCAGATACTACCTTTAATGTTGACGCTACCGGAGTGTTTGAACAGTGCTTGCCATTAAAATGGCTGAACATATCATTTTGATTTGGCTGTTGGCAATGCCCCTTTGGTGGTACTGAAGTTAGCATTCAAGCCCACCGCACACTATTTCTATTTGCTGTTCTTAAAAGAGAGCTATGGGTTAAGTGTTTTTCCCCATGGCTCTCTTTAGGGTCACAGGAGGACATATACTAACCTCCTCCCGTGACCCAAAGCTCAGTATATAGCAGGCTATCGCCCACGATAAACAGAGCGCTGCAGCCTGGACAGATCCCGACAATACTGTCGAGATCCACCCAGCTGCATGAGTGACAGCGGGCTTTGCCTATCTAGAGGCAGAGCCAGCTGTCCCCGCCCCCTCTCCATTCGTTCCTCCACTCAGCCCTGGAGGATCTGAGAGGGGTGGCGGGGGAATCCATGCGGGGGACGGTGGCTGACAGTCACCACTCACTGAAGGGAGACGATCGGGAAGTGAGCGGATCGGCTGCATGTTTCTGCTCACTTCCCGATCAATAGAGCCGACCTGGGACAGCTTCTTTGTCAGCTCTAACTACCGTATGAGGATGAGTGGAATTGTGTGTGTGGTGTGGGAAGAGACGCCGGCCACTCACAGCGCTCTCCACCGCAGCGCTCGGCAGGCTGTCACTTTCTTTTCTCCCCGCTGGAACACAGAGCAGCGCCCAGCGGGGAGAAAAGAAACCAGGGATGCACCGATGTATCGGCCGAAACATGGCTCTTTCGGCATTATGCCAAAAGTGCCATTTTCGGCCGATATGTTTCGTCGGCCGATATATCGGTGCATCCCTAGAAGTAATGATATCTAGTACTTTCCAGTTTGGGTAATACAGTAAGAAAACAGAATCCTGGAAAGCATGGAATTGGCTTTCATTGCCCACCCAGTGTTAACATAAAGGACACTAGTTTGACTCCTGCAGCAATTGGTTCATGGATTGAGCAGATCGAAGAGATCATCCAACTAGAATACTCTGCAGTTTTATAGTTGAGAAGACTAGTTATGTTTTTTTGTTTTTTTTCCCTGTTTCTGTTGAATTTAATAGTACACACGTTCATTTGTCTTTTCAGGAACTAGCTCTTCGTAGTCAGATCCCAACCATGGAACAAGATGGCGGTACTCAGAACCCCGTGTGTTCATCAGGATTAACTCAAGAGCTCCGCACAATGACCATGAACAGTTCCGATCCTTTCCTCAACAGGTGTGTGATCAGTCTTCTCGCTTATTCTGTAGTAATAGGACAGATTTTCATCTGTTAACTTCCAGAAGAAAGCTTTGCCCTTATTAATGGTTCTGTCTGTCCACCAAACATTTTGGATATGACAAAAAGGTTATTACTACTACAGCTTTGGCTGCTGTTGTATAGCACCGTGTATCAAGTTGTGTAAGGCGCTTTACATGTCGGTGAATGTGGGTTCTAAAGGAGAGGGCCTTGAGGCTTCACACATCTGCCCCAGTGTCTTTCTGCATTTGACCCTCAATTGCATTTGTACTTTTGCTTAGACATTCTTTGTGTTTACAGTGGCACCTATCACTCCAGAGATGAAAGCACAGATAGCGGATTAAGTATGAGTAGTTACAGTGTACCCAGGACCCCCGACGACTTCCTTAACAGTGTTGATGAAATGGACACAGGTGGGTTGATTTTTGTGCATTTGAGATTGGATCTGAAAGTTTTTGCTGATGGTACCTGAACACATGGTAGAAATGCATGAATACTCCGTATTCCTGAAAGTCCTATAAAGGCAAGTCCCCGACTTACGAACGCCTGACTTGCGTACAACCCATAATTACGAACCGAGGTCAGAGACTGCAGCCACTGATCGTCGGCATTAGTAGCGGTACTTGTGCCGACGATCACAGACGAGTAGTGGGTCTGGATTGTAGTACTGTACCTCCTGCAGGAAGTTGTTAGTGATTGCCCTGACCTCTTCTTCCGGGTCTGGTACTGAACAGGAAGATGGCTCTGACATTACCCCTGTCATAACCCTGTATGTACTGTACAGTGTACTGAACACTTTTATTTGTCTTCCTTGTCTATTTGTTTGCCTGTAACAATGCTGAAAAACAAATCTAATACAAGTGCTGGTTCTGAACAGGGGCACAGACAGCAAAACAAACGTAACCCCTCCCTATGGTATTCAAAACTAAAAAAAAAATTTTTGGCTGGAGTTCCACCTAAAAAAATTTACCTGTTCCAACTTGCATACAAATTCAACTTAAGAATGAACCTGGAGTCCCTATCTTGTTCGTAACCCGGGGACTGCCTGTATTCCATGTGTGCCTTGCCGTTGGATGATGAAATAGTTTACATTTCTGTTCCACATTTTTTGGTTTCCAAAAACAACCCACTGCATTGATCTGGTAAAGATTTGGCCCAGTTGGATTTTCCTAGTGGGTCACTAATTGGTGCCTCTACTATAGCCAGTTCGGTGATTTTTGATTTTGAGAGACTGAAGTATTATTAAGATATGCACCACTTTTCTCTAGTTGGCAGAGTTGCAAGGTAACGTACTGGCAACTGTCCTTTTGTCTGTGCTGCTTGTTCACCTAAAAAGTTGTTGGTGAGGCTGCTTTAAGAGCAGTTCTTTGACCATGGGTAGATTATGGCTGTTCTGGCCAGAACGTACTGCATGTGGTGTGAACTAGGCCTAAGAAAGGAGTTTTAGCAGTTAAAGGCTGACCATACACTGCTCAAATTTCAGCCGATTTTTGTCAATTCGAGCCACGGGTGGCCCTGTCGGCACCTCCTGGCTTGCCAAGTTCTATTTTCAAAATAAAATGTTATCTATGTAATCTGCATATTGCATTTGTTTCCATCCACAGGTGATGCAATCAACCAAAGTAGTATGCCCTCCCAACCAAACCGATTCCCTGACTATTTGGAAGCACTTCCAGGAACAAACGTGGACCTTGGTACTTTAGAGGGGGAGGCAATGAACGTGGAAAGCGAAGAACTCATGCCAAGCCTGCAAGAAGCTTTGAGTTCCGACATCCTAAATGACATGGAATCTGTTCTGGCTGGCACCAAACTGGATAAAGAAAGTTTCCTTACATGGTTATAGAAGCAACCAGAAGTTTCTTGGTATGGTCAACAAAGCTTCTTGGTCCTGAAGGATTTTGCTCATCAAGGGTGCCTATAAACTTCAAGCTGAACAAGGCTACTTGGCAGACTTTTATGTTCCAAATGATCAAACTTTTAAAGACTTTTGACTTTTTTCTCATTTTAGTATTTTTATTTTTTTTTCCTCACTCATTGCTGCTTTGTTATTGCTGACACATTTTTTTTTCACCATTGAGAGCGTAAGGTATCAACAATATTTTGAATGCCATAGCTGCCTCTTCAAGTATTTTTAATGCAAAGAGATTGAGAGGGGTCGGGCCATGCCTTATATACCATTTAGATATTCCGGTTTCCTCCAAGTCAAATGTAAATATCATGCAGTATACTGTGTATGTTGTTTACCCCTTTCAGCTCCTTTTTATATCCTCACCAAGGACATGGTTACTCTTGTCTACCACATGATAGTATTTTTTTGAATTTTTGACTTATAAACGATGGAATTTTTGGTCCCATGTGGACAAACTGACGGATGCTTCGGCAATATGGCTTAAGGGTCCTAGCTTGAATTTTATTCCAATTTACCTTTTTTTTTTTTTTTCTTGTTTTGGTTCATTTTCAAGAACAATCAAAGAATGTGGCAGATTTGAGACGGATCGAACAGTTTCTATTTAATGTGATCCTCGATTGCTCTCCTTGGAGTATGGTTTTAAAATATGTGCAGTCTTTTTATTGGGTCAGTGCAAGATGGTGTATACGAAATATGATGGAGTGTATATGTAAGTAGGTTGTTACTTAGCATCTTTATTTTTTTTTAAATGCCGACGGGATAGAGGAAGTGTGATAGTGCCAATCAATGCTCTATGGAAGTCTGACTTTTTTTTTTAATTATTATTATTATATAATACTGTCTGCGAGGTTTAGGGGGAAGATGAAATCTTTTAGAAAGTGGTATTAGCGGAAAATAGAATTTTAAGTTTGATATACCGAACAAATCATTCCACCTACCTCCTTGTATTTTTTATTTTTTCAAATGTGCCTTCTACATTAATTTCAAAGCTATAGCTATGGTATATACTGTTTTTTGTAACGAGGGCTTATTGTATTTTATATAATGTTATCACCCACCAATTGCCAGACTTGGTTTTTAATCTAAAA